AGAGTGACGTGTACAGCTTTGGGGTGGTGTTGCTGGAGCTGATTTCCGGTTGAAGGCGGTGGATCAGAGCCGGGACAAGCGGGAAGTCCGTTGGCCGATCTGGTGGTGGTCTCCAGAATCCCACATGGGTCACTGAATCAGGTAGTGGACCCCGTTTTGGCGAAGGAAGAAGTGATGACGCCGTCGCCGCCCGGCTGGCGGAGCTGGCCTCCGTTGCGTGGCGGCGGACAAGGACGACCGCCCGGACTCAAAAGAAGTGGTGGAGGAGCTGAAGCGCGGGTACGGATCCAGACCCAGCGGGGCTTCGATCGGCGTCGAATTCCCACGCAGGTGCTGCCTGAGGGTTGTGGATTGTGAGATTGGATGGGCCCAAAATGCCCTGTGGTGTTTGACTATCTCAGTTCACTTTTGTCGACTAGTCAAACGGACCCCACGAGAACGATAATTCCACGTTGGACTTACTCGCACGAGGGATTTGTTTGGTTGGATGAAAGCGTCAGCGGCCCCTCCGTACGGTTTGAGAGGTTTTAAATTTACACCAGAGCCTTCTCCAACTCCTACCTCATGTCACCTCAGAATATTTTGTGAGTAAATATCTTGTATTTCCACTCTCTGTGCTTTGGAGATCAAGCACATTTCGTCTTTGTAATATATGCCATGCTACTCTTCAAGCCCTTTTAATTTGCAAATTGTAAATTGATGGGCGAGTTTAAACCATTTTGGGAGGAGCATACAGAATGAGATCCAGAGCAGCGGGTGACTAAGAATAAATGAAATATAATAATGAATAAACTTTGAAAATACGAACGTGAAACTCTCACCCACCATTTAGTTTTCTTGCGCAAATGTTAATAAAAACTCGTACAGAAGTCAGAACCTCTCACATGTTTACGTAACTCGGCCGATGCTCTTTGACCCCAAAAAAAACCCAAAAAAACAACTCGGCTCATGCTCATTAAAGCCCTTTGGTGTCTTGCGAGAGATATTATTATTTATTATGACACCATTACGCTGTAAAGAGAATGAGGCTGCGAAAAGTGGAAGTATTGGAGTTGGTGACTGGTCAGCATTTCGTGCAGCCCCGGGCAATGCAAATTCATGGCGTGTCGACAACGCAAATAAGATATCTATCTCCATGACCTTCCCGTGATTTGCGCTAAGAAAATGACCCGACAGGGCTACCATGTGTCAAAGTCAATAAGAAACACGGCACTGCACATGCCACAAGGTTTCACAGCCTCCAAGGATGCAAAGCTACAACTTTTTCATTCTTTTTTATAAGTTCTATGTTTGCATTACACAATAACACTCTTTTTTGCATCGACCATTGCAGTGCACTCTAGGATACCTCAGTATTCATTCAACAAGCATAGTTTCATGTAAAGGAGGCGATTATTCCTTCGTTAGAAGTATGCACTCTCCAACGCCCTGGCCTTTTCTTTGCTTTGCCGCTTCTGGCCTGTTCGCTAGTCTGTAGCTTTCTGCTCTCCTGATACAAAATTTGAAGTAACAGTAATGATTATAAGAATAATCATGGTTTTGAACAGTCATTAGCTTTTGGCTCTCTACTATAGGCAAGGCAATTGGCAAACTGTACCAGTAGGCGCCACATGAATGGAACACCTTCCCTTTTCTTGATTTGCTTCTCGATCACCTCGATTGCTGCATGTTAGTTACCATTGTTAAGCATAACTGAAAGGTTTGAACTTTTAACTTGCAGTGGAGTTCGAGACTATACCCTTCCTGTTTCTCCAGCGTTCAGTAACATCGTGTACCAAACTTGATTGAACACTTCAAGTTGTTCATCTGACGCTCCGATTATCTTTACATGACAAAGGAATTGGAATCGTCAGATGGAAAACAAAGCTAAAAAGAAGCATCAGTAAAGTCTAATCATTACAACCTTGTAATTACAGGCATCAAAATCAGAATCCAGTAACTCCAGTCCTTGCCTGTCGTTACCTCTCCCATATGCATAAAGAGCTTCTGCGAGCTGATCTAGAAAGTATCAATAGAAGGGAGTTTCAACTGTAAAAGAATGATAAGAGTTCACTCGCAAAGTCGCATGAGCAAAGGATCCCATGTTTGTAATAATTTCTACTGACGTTAATCATGGAAGTTTGGGAAGGGTTGTCATAAGCAACAATATGGACAAATTATGCGCTTCACCATATACTTGAATGATTCTAAGAAACGGATACCAGGCCAGTAAGAATTAAGTAGGATTTATGCTAAAGAGGCGAGAGATGGCGATCCAAGGTAATCCATATGAATTGTAGTCCTATTTGTCACATATTCAGCCAGCACCACATGATGACTGTTGCTTCAAGCACCTAACTGATTGTTCTGAGTAAAACATCCAAAAGTGAAGGATGACTACAATTTACGGCAATCTGGCCCACATTTAATGGCTGCATTGCCCAGGGGAAGAGCCTCAAATTTTTCCTTGATACATATTCTGTAACACTACTGGTTATTGTAATGAAAAGCCTAATTCACAAATCAAAATTGAGTGCAACAAAATCGGATTGTCAAACATCAGAAGAGATTCACAACAAGCAATTAGGGATCATGAATACAAGAAGGCAACATTTTCACGTGGTCGTGGAAACAGCAGCCTAGGGCATACCTGCATTCCCTTCTGCATTGATTGTTGCTTCTTTGTGCCCATTCTAGAAATCCTACAGTAAGAAAACTTGATAAAATAATGCATAACATATCTCTACAAAAGTTTCTCTAGAAGATAAGATGATGCTTCTACCTGTATTTTAACTCATTTAGAAGATCCTCAGCTTTAGAGAATTTTCCAGTCTTTGCTAAAGCCCAGACGGTCATTACATCAAGGTGCCACTCTATATTCCAATTTGCCTAAACAAGTCGTGCGTACATTCATAAATTGCAGAATTGAAGTTATTTCAACATTGTACTTTTTTTCTTTTTTTTTTGGCCAAATTTCAACAATGGACTTGAAGCACTATATAAAAGCCATATGAAAAGCATCATTAATGGACATGGAAAAGATACGTCTCAGAAAAGTAGTAACTTGTAAGAGAAAAATACATTTTCACCAGCGATTCATAAAATTCCTTAATAACTTAAAATATATCCTGACAGAGCTGTATCTTTTAATCATAATTTTTGGCATCTGGTATTTGCACCCCCCATTACAAAATCTTGATTTACTGTAGAGACATAAAATTCCATGTTTCATACCACATTGTGGAAATATCATTAACGATAAAAACAACGATTTCATTTTAAAGAAGTTCCAGTCCGAGATAGAATCCTAACAAAAATCAAGGTTCTCCTGATAGAAAAAGTTACAAAATAAAGTTACTTCATTACTAAACTTGTGTCAAGTCTACCTTCTCATGGGACAAAACACCCTAACACCTGTATATCACCCAGGACCATAGTAGCTGTTCCATCACCAAAGCAATGGTTACTACGGTTCACTGGTTGTGCTTAGCATGTTTCTGTGATCATCTATTGAATGAGTGCAAACAATTAGTGAGTTAGACCTAAATCTAGCCAGGGACTTAAAAATTGGTTTAGAAACCTGAAACTTTTAACAAGCTTATTTCAAATTATTTCTTACGCTTCAGACACTTAAGCTTCTATACATAACACATTTGGTCCATGTTAGCAAAAAGTTTTATGCTTTAAAGCGTCATCAGTCCTAGACTACATGAAGGCACACACGATAATAGCATCAAAGATACGCAGGCAACAGTATTGGTCCTTCGGTATCTGCTTTGTTAACCACTTTGACACTAAAAGATACTATGGACACAAAAGTGTTTAGTAGACCTTAGAACTTCTGATGTAAAAACTTTAAATAGGATTACCACCTTTGTTTTCATATTGGAATTGTAAAAATTTTAGTAAAATTATTTTTGAGATCATTACAGTATTCCAAATTTTACAAGAACCCTTCTAATTTTCAATACCAACACAAATTTCCCCGGCACGAATCCCCAAAGAAACTGCCATGGATTTTCTTGAGTGTTCACACTTTCTCTGTTCAATGGAGGTTTATGTAGAATAAGGCAATGAACTAGAGGTTGATGTAAAGATCCAGTTCAAGGTTGCAAAAGGAGGTCTACATAAATTCAAAAAAAGTCCGTGACAAAATCAAGTATTGCATTTTGAAAATTATAAATGTAGAATTTTTTGGGAACTCACTTGGTCACTTAGGCATCCTGCTAGTATCTCGAGACGATCCCCAAGGACATCAAGCTCACCATGAACATGCAATCGCAAAAGAAGACCCACAGCATTTAAGTAAACCTATGCGCAGATTAAGTTAGAATTGACAATAAAAGGAATGAAGAAAATTTAAAGCTATTGATTGCAGTAAAGTCGGCCAAATAATATACCTCTCCGGCAGCATCAGCTCTTTCTAACTCTTTCCATATATGATGGTCATATAACTCAAGGACTCTTTGTGCTGGGGCATTACCTTCTAAATAACAAAGTGCTACATGCCACCAATTGTGGGTCAGCCTGGAAAGAAAAAAAAAAAAAAAGTTCTAGCTCACTATGACAAAGTGGGATGAAGCTTTGTAATAATGAAAAATATGCTTACATAAATGACAAACAAGAATTCCATGAAGACGCACATCCTTCCATGAACTGAACTGCTTCTTTAAATTTGCATTCATACTGAAAAACATGGCATAACTGCAGAACAAAATTTGATGGTTTCAATAGTCATCTAGGTTATAACTAATTAGAGGTTCTTGAAGCAAATACACTTGACAGTAACTTGTGTTTATATATGTTACTGATTATAAATAAATTATATCTGAAACAAAAACATGAAATGATTGCTCAATCAATGACTGAATTGCCGGTGATAATTGAAGCCTAGGTGCCTAGCAAGCAGGAAATTTAATTTCCAGAGCACTGGGGAACCTATTTATAACGTTTGGATATGACAAATATGAACATTTTAGAATTGTTAAGTGCTGTACAGGATGTGTGTTAGTATTTTGTATAAATAGTTTCCTATGGTCTTGACAAATTCGATTTCCACAAGCAAAATGCCGCCTCATTGTCAATTGAGTAGCATGGGAAAAGGAAGCATGTCCTGTATAATAATGACACGGTAAAATATTTCTAATGTTTAACAAATACATCAACCTACAGCATGCTGCGCCCAGACGTCTTCCTTATTGATTTCAAGTCCCCTTTTGGCAGCTTTCTCAGCATCTCGCATTTGTCCAACCTCTAATAAAGCAAAAGAAAGCATGCCGTATACGTAATTATCTCCTTCATTTTCAGGAAGAACCTGCACAACTTAGAAGCATAAGGAATTGAAATGCCCTTGAATAGATAAATGATGTACTCCTCCAGTCCTAAATATAAGACCCACTTTGTACAAAGTGGGTCTTATATTTAGGACTGGAGGAGTAATTGAAAATCATCTAGGGATTAAAGAATTAAATATCTGGATTAAAGAAGAGTGTGATTTCCAGTGAGCACTAGGCAGCAAGCACAATGGTGTTTGGTACGGTAACTTAGAATGGTGGAAAGATAGTGTTTGAAATAGCTAGGGGGAATATGAATTTATCCACCAGGCACGAGATTCATAGCCAATTTCAATTACTTGATGCAAATGAAACAGAACAAGCAAAAAACCAACAGAATACATTCTGGTTTGGTGATTCATTCTCGACCTTTGTGCACTTCAATTTGGTACGAGTCATAAAATTCAGTTCTGTACTATATGTCAAATGTTAATAAAAAAGCTATTATATATCTATATTGGCAATTTTTCCATTTCTTTAAACATGATGAAAGATTGCTGCTAATAAACCCAAGGTTTTCATATTCCACCTAAAAAGGTGCAAGAAAGTTTTTCATGACCAATGAAAAAAAAAAATTGCTGTTTACATGAAAATTGTTGCAGAAAGAAGCAAAACCGTTTCAGATAAGAAAATAACCTGGCGAATAAGAGACAGAAAAAGATCAGGTTGACCCATGTAGAAGCACAGAACTTGAGCTCTCTTCAGGGATGCCAGATCTCTTGGGAACTCTTTCAGAACCTGCAAAGCAAACGGACGTTGTATAAATCAAAAAGGCATGAGAAAGCATTATAAATTAATTTCAAAAGTAGTACAGGCACTAGAACTGGGGAAGTATCTGCAGCATCCAATTACTTTTCTCCAACTTTAACAAGAGATTGTACAAGCCAGCATTAAATTATTTGACTACATCCTTAACGCCTTCTAAGTTTACTGGTTTGGTTCACATTGTGTTCTCTAGTATTTAGGTCTTCCAGTTAATGCCAAAGTAACCAGCAATTATCACCTCAAGACTCGTAAGAAAAATGAGAACTTTTACAAAGAACTTTAACGGTGCTTTTATATTTTGAATCAATCATGTCTTACAAAATATACCTATAACTTCTTTAGATATACTGATTATTACATTGATATGCAAGAAGGAACTAAGATAGTATATACAGATTGGTTTTTAATAGATTTTGTGTTAAATGCAAAGGTTTTGGGCCCATTTGAAGCTCCAATAAAAAAATTTAGGCATTTATGCAAAGGAAGTGAGGAACTGCCAGCAAATTCTACAGGATGGGAATGTGTGTCAAGGTGATATTCCATACAAAACTATTTGTTAGCAATTCACGTAGTAATGAAGTTCTGAGATATTTATAAGAGAAGAACTTGAATTTAAAAGCCAGGGGATAATTCAGTATCTATTGTTGTCACCAAACTCCCACAGACCGTAATGATAGATTGAAAAGCAGAAGTTTTGGGCAAAAGGGGGGGGGGATAGCATCCATTAACGAGGGCCAATCACCTTAAGATGTAACTCAACAGCGACATCATCATCTCTGTCTTTAGAACCCAAATAACTGACGGCATCGAAAACTAGTTTCTCATACCGAGTAGCTTGTTCCTGTCACAACTGAGCTCCAATTATGCACAAGAAAGAAAAATTGAGGCAAAATCATTTTCAACGGTAGCCAAGTTAATGAAAGATTACAAGGTTGGCCTTGGCAGCTTCAAGAAAAGAAGGAGCTCGTGAAGGATCAGAGAAGTTAAGGAGATGGGCTGCCAAGATGTTGGCCAAAACGCAGTCTTTATCATGAGCTGCGGCTTCCAGAATCACACACCGATCTCTGCCATACCCGAGAAACTTCCCGGTCCCAAAGACACCAATTTCAGAGAATTGAAGTTCCGAGCACAGAGTAAAAGAAAACAGCGAACAAGAGAGGAGTTAGAAGCAGACCTGATCGTAGAAGGCGTTGATAGATGAAATGCAGTCCTCGGAAGAAGTTCTCACTTCGTATCCCCATTTGTCCAGTTTGACCCCTCCTCCTCCCATCTTTTCCCTTTCCTCTTTCATTCTATAATCTGCTTTCTCCGTGGATTGTGAAAATCTAAAAGAGCGAGGGTAGAATAAATGGTCTCAATCTTGTCCGAGGCTAACCTCCCGTACGAAAATATCAATCATCAATCAATATTATCAATGTATACTTATCATAAAGATCCTCGTCAGCATAACCGCAAGAAAATGTTGATGTCAATCATTGTCGTCATCTACTTGTTGATTTGTGGGCTTGCCACCGAGAGTAGAATTTTCATTTTTGGCACTGTTTGGTAGGTGGTTTCTAGATATTTTACGGACAATCAATGGCTGCCAAAGTCATCATTCATCAATTTACCACGCACCGTTGGAGGGGATTGGGGGGGGGGGGGGGGGCGAAGGAAGCTCGGCATGCCAAAGCTTCATAGTTTCAATTTGGATTAATACAATGATTAGTCCTTATACTTTTCATTTATTTTGGTTTTGGTCCCTGAAGTTTGGAACCTCCAGTTTTGGTCCTTTAAGTTTGCTCCGTTTAAAATGTTAGTCCTTATATTTTTAAAAGGACTTGGTGTCACCTTTAACACTGTTAAATATGCTGATATGTTCCTAACTCTGTTAAATATGCTCATATGGAACTAAGTGGATGAGCTAAGGTGGCTTATAAAAGATTAAAAAAAATTTGACAATTAAAAAAATGGTAGAGAAAGGAACAGGCGGTAAAATGTAATACCCAAGTCGAAGGCCAAAACCATTCTTTGCAATCGAAAAAAGAAAAGGAGAGGGTTAGGTCAAAAGCGGTCCCACTTGGTAGTCGCCGGAGTTGAGCTGGCCGTTGCCGGAGGTGGGGAACTGACCGATCAAGGTGCGACGACAGTGAAGGAGGAATCGCATTTGACAGCAAAAAAAAAAGTAAGCTCTTCTCAGACAATCACCGCGCATTCTAACTCAAAGCTTATTTTCAACTATATTCTTGAATATATATTAGAGAAATGGTCTTCTCGAATACGTATTTGAGAACTGGTCTTCTTGAATACATATTCGAGAACTGATCTTTGGTCTTCTCTGCTTTGTCCTCTTCTCAGACTTCACATGCGCCCCACCTCGCTTTGCTTTGCCCTAGCTCTCAATGTCGACGATAAAAGCGACCTTCAATGACAACATTGACCTTCAGTCAGTTCAAGAATATAGCAGTTTCCTTTGTGATAGCGCGGTGATTGTTTGAGATGAGCTTACTTTTTTTTTTGCTGTCAAATGCGATTCCTCCTTCACTGTCGTCGCACCTTGATCGGTCAGTTCCCCACCTCCGGCGACGGCCAGCTCAACTCCGGCGACTACCAAGTGGGACCGCTTTTGACCTAACCCTCTCCTTTTCTTTTTTCGATTGCAAAGAATGGTTTTAGCCTTCGACTTGGGTATTACATTTTACCGCCTGTTCCTTTCTCTACCATTTTTTTAATTGTCAAATTTTTTTAATCTTTTATAAGCCACCTCAGCTCGTCCACTTGGTTCCATATGAGCATATTTAACAGAGTTAGGGACATGTCAGCATATTTAACAGTGTTAAAGGTGACACCAAGTCCTTTTAAAAATATAAGAACTAACGTTTTAAACGGAGCAAACTTAAAGGACCAAAACTGGAGGTTCCAAACTTCAGGGACCAAAACCAAAATGAATGAAAAGTGTAAGGACTAATCATTGTATTAACCCTTTCAATTTTCATAAAATAAGGATAAATTGATTGTCATACCTTTTTCAAGATGTAGCTTTTTTTTTCCGCAAAAAAGGTCAATGGGGTTACAACTCATAATTCATCTATCTCTCGACTGTCATCTGCCTCATAACTTTACATTCTGTCGTACCCCCGGAATCTCTGTAACTTATCGATGCCAAATTGGTCAATTTCTTTTGCTCCTAAAAAAGGGAGGCTTGGGAGGTAGGCTTACTCATAAAGTAAACTGAGCTTTACTGGTTAAACAAATTTAAAGAATTATGACAGCAGAGCTTGATTCTCTTTTCCGCAAATATTGATGGATCTCTAGGTTGCAAACTGAAAAGGCCTTATATATGCCTATATGGTTTTAAAGCATCGTGCTGAAAGTTTGAACATTAATAAGGTTTCGGATCTTATGTTACATAGCCCTACTTCTTGGGAGGCAACATGTTGAAATATACCTTTGGTTCGAAGTCTGTATGATTTTGCTACAAGTAATGAAAATTTTTGAAGATTCCTTTGTCTTTCTGCCAATCACCAGACAGACTGATTTGAAATCAAAGTGCTAGCGGTGTGCTCTGTTAAGAAAGGATTTGAACTCTGCGTTAAAACAAATGACCCTTCATTGAATGCTGATACTGAACTTCGTGATCTGCTATGAGAGTAACAGCTGCCTTTCAAGCAATTGTTAATCAGCAAAATGTTCATTCTCATTATTATGTCTTTGGATGTCAAGTTCAAGAATCATTGGAAGATGTTTTCTGCAATTGCTCTGATGCAAAATCCATTTTGTTTGGAGCCCATTACATGTCATCTACACAGATAGGAGAGGGAGGGTTGCTCCATTGGATCCTATCTAAATTTCCTTTATCATATAAAAGAAATCAGATTCATGTTTTAAAAGGCGACATCATTCTCCTGCATCCATTTGGAGAAAAAGAAATATTGCCTTTCATCAAGAATTCAAAGGAAGCTTTCATTATGTTAATGATGTCTGTTCATGGTCTCATTTCCCGGAAAACAAATACAGCAGAACAATTCTTTTGTCCAAGAAATTTGCAGTAACTTTGGATTGTGAAGAATTTCTTGAATCAGGGTAATGTCAAGAATCAACGTGGGATCATTTGCTACCAGAAGAAACATATTCATTGACTTTTCGTGCTGGACATTATTATCCAACGTGCGCTTCGTCTCTCAAAGAATTTTGATTCATATTACTTAAAAAGTCAACGGTGAATTCAGATTAGGCCAGAAAAGAAACTGCTTATTATTACGCTCCCAAAAGCTCATCAAAAGAAAATTATTTTAAAGACCAAATGCAGTTCGTCATCTTGTTACAGAATTGTAAACGAGTTCGATTACTTCGCAGAAGCCGCGGCAGCTTTCCATCTCATATGAAGAGCCTCCACATATTCAATGAGTTTCTCAGTTTCAGGCATCAAACCCTTCACGTTAGGATCAGACCCGAATCTCTCTGCCCATTTCACCAAACCAGGATGTTTGGCTTCAATCATCAACTTTCTTCCATTCATAGTCTCTATCACACTCAACCAACGCAGCAAGCTTCCAAAAGTAATATCAACCAACCCAATTTTCTCTCCTCCAAAAAATCCCTTTCCTTCTTCTCTGCAACATTTCTGCAACTCACCTTCCATTGTCACAAGTGCATCTTCTACTTCCTCCAGGTATGACTTCCTTGCTTCTTCGTCTTCTTCACGAACAACATTTCTCATCGCCACAGTACACTATCCCCAGTGAAACTCATTAGCATTAACCAAAAGGGATCGGAATAAGAGTAAAGATAAAGTGTGAAGAGAAATTAAACGTTTGATACCTTGTCATCGATGTAGGCAGCCCAGAAACGAGCCATGGCTCGATCGTAAGCATCTGCAGGTAGGATGGAGGGACCGGAGTTCCAAACCTCGTCTATGTATTCGACGATGACTCTGGATTCACAGATGGGTCTGTCTCCGTGAAGGAGGACTGGGATTTTCTGGTGAACAGGATTTGACTGGAGAAGAAGCTGGCTTTTTGGGTTCAAGGTGTCCTCAATGTTTTCATATTCCAGAGATTTGATGTTGAGGGCAATCTTAACCCTCCAAACGAATGGACTGAACCATGCACCCAGAAGCTTGAGGCTAGTGTTTGCCATGAGTAACTAGTATAAGCTATAAACTGTGAAGGAGAAATAATTGTGAAGGCAACACGCGTACAAGCAAGCATGAGGTGTTTATGTAGGAAAACGGGTAAAGTGGGAATCACCAAATTCAACAGAGGACACCTACCGTATATTATATTAATTCACCGAGCAGCCTTGGCCTTAAGGGCGGAAAACAGTGGGCAAAATGGAATTGACAATTGACTCTGTGACACCGACGAATAGTCTCCGCCTTGTAATTAAATTTTAATATTAATTATTCAGATCTTAAATGGAGTACAGGACAAAAGATTATCATTTTTTTTATTTTTTTAACTTCAAGAATTAAAAATAGAAATATAATAAATTGTAATTTGTTTAAATAAAATTAGAAAATAGAATTTACGGTCAAAAATTTTTTTTGCAGCACATAAAATAAATACATAAAAAGAGTTTTATTTTGTTGTATGTAAAAGTGTTTACCAAAAACTCTCTATCTCACTTTTAAGAGTGTTTGGGTAGAAACTAAAATCATAATTTGAGAGTTTTACAAGAAAAAAAAATTCATAATTTGGGAGTAAAAACCAGGATTTTGAAAAAAGTAGCTGAACTGCTTATTTTTTCTCAAAATTAATTGAAAAACTTGGTTTGGATATGGAAAATTATGGTTTTCCAAATCGTTTTTTTTTTTGGCTTTCAAGGGTAGAAAATCATGGTTTGGTGTGTAATAATTTAAATATGAAACAGTAATTCTCATAATAATCATAAACATTTTCAATTTGTTAGAATTACTTTTTTTCACATAATCTATTTTGTTAAAATTTATTCTCAAAATAATTTTTTATTATTTTTTAGAAACTATTCTCTAAAAACTAATCCAAACATTAAACACGATCAAATCCATTACAGTTGTTTGCTACTGCAAATGACAGTACAGCCCAAAAGAGAAGAAAATTCAAGCAAGCTTGCAAGAAACACTCAGGATAGTAATACTCAGGACAGTAGGTCATCATTTTATTTATTAGCCATACAACACCGTAATAATCAATCAACATCAAAATAAAATATATTGATATTTTTTATATATCTGAAAAAGTGAAAATGTCTGGTTTGAGCCCAAAGTCAACCTGAGCGGCTTTGACTATTTAACTGTTACTGTCCATTTCACATCATGACACTGACCCCAAAAAAAAAAAAAAAACTGCTTTCGGGAGTATTTGTTTTAAAAACACGGCGTGTTTAGATAAAAATTAAATTATAATTTTAAAAATAATTTTATAATATATAAAAGAAATATTTATTTTAATTTATAAAAAAATATTTTTAAAAAGTATTTTAAAAATTACCAAACACCCTCGCTAAATAAAAGAAGTTTATTCCGATTGCAGAAAAGTAAAACGTACTTTTTATGCTACTCAAACATCCCTGTCATTACATCCCAAAGCTTAGAAGAAATTTAATGCAAAGACCAAATGCAGTTCATGTTTATCATCTCTTACAGAAATCTTGTTCATTTCACTCTGCAGAAGGCGCAGCAGCTTTCAATTTCATCTGAAGAGCCTTTGCATATTCAACGAGTTTCTCAGTTTCAGGTATCAACCCCTTCACGATAGGATGAGACCCGAATCTCTCTGCCCATTTCACCAATCCAGGATGCTTCGCTTCAACCATCAACTTTCTTCCATTCATAGTCTCTATCATACTGAAGCAACGCAGCAAGCTTCCAAGAGTAATATCAACCAACCCAATTTCTTCTCCTCCAAAAAAACCCTTTCCTTCTTCTCTGCAACATTTCTGCAACTCACCTTCCATTGTCACAAGCACATCTTCTACTTCCTCCAGGTATGACTTCCTTGCTTCTTCGTCTTCTTCACGAACAACATTTCTCACGGCCACAGTACACTATCCGCAGTGAAACTCATTAGCATTAACCAAAAAGGATGGGAATAAGTGAAAAGATAAAGTATGAAGAGAAATTAATCGTTTGATACCTTGTCATCGATGTAGGCAGCCCAGAAACGAGCCATGGCTCGATCGTAAGCATCTGCAGGTAGTATGGAGGCACCGGAGTTCCAAACCTCGTCTATGTATTCGACGATGATTCTAGATTCACAGATGGGTCTGTCTCCGTGAAGGAGGACTGGGATTTGCTGGTGAACAGGATTTAGCTGGAGAAGAAGCTGGCTTTTTGGGTTCAAGGTCTCTTCAATGTTTTCATATTCCAGAGATTTGATGTTGAGGGCAATCTTAACCCTCCAAACGATTGGACTGAACCATGCACCCAGAAGCTTGAGGCTAGTGTTTGCCATGAGTAACTAGTATAAACTATAAACTGTGAAGGAGAAAAACACAGGATAAGAAATAATTGTGAGGCCAATAGAAGCAAGAGGCGTTTATGCCGGAAAACTGGTAAAGTGGGAATCACCAAATTCGGACACCTAGCCTATATTATATGAATTCACTGAGAAGCCTTGGCCCCAAGGGCGGAAAACAGTGGAGAAAACGGAATTGACAATCGACTCTGTGACACCAACGAATAGTCTCCGCCTTGTAATTAAATTTTAATATTAATTATTCAGAAAATTATCATTTTTTAGTTCAAGAATTAAAATAGAAATATAATAAATTGTAATTTGTTTAAATTAAAATTTGAATATTTTAAATAAAATTAGAAAATACTCTACCAAAAAAAATAGAAAATAGAATTTACGGTCAAAAATAATTTTGCAGCATATAAAATAAATACATAAGAAGAGTTTTATTTTGTCTTATCTAAAAATGCTTACCAAAAACTCTCTATCTCACCCTTAAAGATGTTCAGGTAGAAACTAAAATCACAATTTGAGAGTTTTACGGGAAAAAAAAATCATAATTTGGACGTAAAAACCAGGATTTTGGAAAAAGTAGGAAGACCGCTGATTTTTTCTCAAAATTAATTGAAAAACCATGGTTTGGATATGGAAAATTATGGTTTTCCAAGTTTTTTTTTTTTTGCTTTCAAAGGTAGAAAATCATGGTTTGGTGTGTAATAATTTAAATATGAAACAGTAATTCTTATTATAATCATAAACATTTTCAATTTATTAGAATTACTTTTTTCACATAATCTATTTTTATAAAAAAATTTCTCAAAAAAATTTTTTATTATTTTTCAGAAGTTATTCCCTAAAAACTAATCTAAACAACGCAATCAAATCTATGACAGTTGTTTGCTGCTACAAATGACAGTAGAGCCCAAAAGAGAAGAACATTCAAGCAAGCTTGCAAGTAACACGTAGGTCTCAGGACGGTGGGTCATCATTTTATTTATTAGCCATACAACACCGTAATAATTAATCAACGTGTATTGGCAAAAAAAATAAATAATCAACATCAAAATAAGATATATTGATATTTTTTATATACCTGAAAAATTGGAAATGTCTGGTTTGAACCCAAAGTCAAGTTGAGCGTCTTTGACTATTTAATTGAGAGTGTCCGTTTCACATCATGACAGTGACCAAGAAAAGAAACTGCTCGCGGGGTGTTCGTTTTAAAAGTATTAATGTTCATATACAAACCGAATCATAATTTTAAAGATAAATTTATAATATATAAAAAATATATATATAAAAATTTATCTCACTTTATAAAAATATATTTTTAAAAAACATTTTTAAATATTACCAAACACCGCCCAAAGAAAAGAAGTTTATTTCCACTGCAGAAAAGTAAAACGTACTTTTTATGCTACTCAAACATCCCTGTCATTACATCCCAAAAGCTTAGAAGAAAATTTAATGCAAAGACCAAATACAGTTCATGTTCATCATCTCACTACAGAAATCTTGTTCATTTCACTCTGCAGAAGCCGCAGCAGCTTTCAATTTCATCTGAAGAGCCTTTGCATATTCAATGAGTTTCTCAGTTTCAGGTATCAACCCCTTCACGTTAGGATCAGACCCGAATCTTTCTGCCCATTTCACCAATCCAGGATGCTTCGCTTCAACCATCAACTTTCTTCCATTCATAGTCTCTATCGCACTCAACCAACGCAGCAAGCTTCCAAAAGTAATATCAACCAACCCAATTTCTTCTCCTCCAAAAAATCCCTTTGCTTCTTCTCTGCAACGTTTCTGCAACTCACCTTCCATTGTCACAAGCGCATCTTCGACTTCCTCCAGGTATAGCTTCCTTGCTTCTTCGTCTTCTTCAAGAAGAGCATTTCTCATGGCCACAAAACACTATCCCCAGTGAAAGTCAGTAGCACTAACCAAAAGGGATCGGAAAATAACAGTAAAGTTGAAGTATGAAGAGAAATTAATAGTCTGATACCTTGTCATCGATGTAGGCAGCCCAGAAACGAGCCATGGCTCGATCGTAAGCATCTGCAGGTAGGATGGAGGGACCGGAGTTCCAAACCTCGTCTATGTATTCGACGATGATTCTAGATTCACAGATGGGTTTGTCTCCGTGAAGGAGCACTGGGATTTTCTGGTGAACAGGATTTAGCTGGAGAAGAAGCTGGCTTTTTGGGTTCAAGGTCTCTTCAATGTTTTCATATTCCAGAGATTTGATGTTGAGGGCAATCGTAACCCTCCAAACGAATGGACTGAACCATCCACCCAGAAGCTTGAGGCCAGTGTTTACCATGAGTAGCTAGCATAAACTATAAACCGTGAAGGAGAAAAACACAGGATTGTGAGCAACAATTGTGAAGCCAATAGAAGCAAAAGGTGTTTATGCCGGAAAACTGGTAAAAGTGGGATCACCAAACTGTATTATATTAATTCACCGCGCAGCCTTACCCGAACCGGATAGGGGCCGAAAACAGTGTGGAAAGGATAATTCACTCTGCAGAATAGCAAGTACGTTTGAATTGGAAATAGAAGAAGCAATTTATTTTTAATTTAATTTTTTAAAAAAATCAGATTAAGCAATGTGATTTATATTTAAATATTTTTATAAATAAATTAGTTTATAAAAATAAATTATTTAAATTATGATTGAATAAATAATTTTATTTTATAAAAATATTAAAATGGGTATAATTTTTATTAAATAATAAAAAATAAAAAATATCAATTTATATAATATAATAATTTTAAATTATTTATAAGTTCCTGCTGAACTCATATATATATTTTTATCATTTATTATAAGAATATATTTAAAATAAAAATATATTTTTAACTTATTTATTACTTTCAACTAATTTTAATTGATTTTTGGTTATTTATAAACTAATTATTTGATGTTTATAATAAGAACAAGATGAATTAGTAAATTTTTTAACTTTTTCTTTTTTCATATTTTAAAAGCCATAAGCAAATAATTTCTACTTGTAGCTTATTACAATTTTTTATGTAAAAATCAGATAGCTCCATGACGGGCTTATGGTTAAAAAAAAAAAAAGGGAAGTAATTTATGGACCTCCACTCATTTTCCGGATTTGATTTGAGCATTTTACCCACGGTGCTTTATGTTTCATTGTGATGATCTGAACGAATTTTAGGAACTTTTTAATACATCAAAAATTAAAAATAGAGATTTCATAAATTCTAATTTGTTTATATTAAATTAAATATTTTAAACAAGATTAGAAAATAGAAAATTACAGTCAAAAATCTTTCTTTATTGTGTATGAAATAAGTATATAAATAATATAAATATACCAGAAGAGTTTTATTGCGAGCGTCTCCATTTGACTCTTCCAAAACACTTATTTGTTGCTACAAGTGACAGTACAGCCAAGGCAGAATAAAATTTAAGCAAATTTATAATCTGTTTGAGACAGTATTCAACAATATTTTTAAACACATTTTATGTAAGTGGAAACAAAATTTTTGTCATATATTTACCTTATATTCTATAAACTATAACTAAAAAATTATTTATAAACTATTTCAAATGAGATTACAGCAGTTTGTCTTTTTCTCGTGAACAGTAGATCATCATTTCATTTAGCCATACAACACTGTAAGAATTCATATTAAATGCCAACAGTGAATTCATATTATTATGAGCATCAAAATAAATTATATAATTACCGATATTGATATTTTTTATATACCTGAAAAAAAGTGAAAATGTCCGGTTTGAACGTGAAGTCAAGTTGGGCGGCTATGGCTCGGAGTGTCCACTCCACATTATGACATTAACCAAGAAAAGAAACTGCTTCTGATTACATCCCAAAAGCTTAGAAGAAAATTAATGTAAAGACCAAATGCAGTTCATGTTCATCATCTCACTACAGAAATCTTGATCATTGTGAACGACTTCTTCCATTACTTTTCAGAAGCCGCAGCAGCTTTCAGTTTCATCTGAAGAGACTTTGCAAACTCAATTGAGTTTCTCAGTTTCAGGTATCAGCCCCTTCACGTTAGCATCAGACCCGAATCTCTCTGCCCATTTCACCAAACCAGGATGCTTCGCTTCGACAATCATCTTTCTTCCATTTATAGTCTCTATCACACTCAACCAACACAGCAAGCTCCCAAAAGTAATATCAACCAACCCGATCTCTTCTCCTCCAAAATATCCCTTTCCTTCTTCTCTGCAACATTTCTGCAACACAGCTTCCATTGTCACAAGCGCACCTTCCATTTCCTCCAAGTACGGCTTCCTCACCTCTTCGTCTTCTTCAAGCACAGCTTTTCTCATGGCCACAAAATACTAACCCCAGTGAAATTCATTAGTATTAACCAAAGAGAATAACGCAACAGTAACATGATGTGTCGAGAAAAATTAATAGTTTAGTACCATGTCATCTATTTAGGCTGCCCAGAAACGAGCCATGGCTCGATCGTAAGCATCTGCTGGTAAGATGGAGGGGCCAGAGTTCCAAACCTCGTTTATGTATTGGACGATGATGCTGGATTCACAGATGGGTTTGTCTCCATGAAGGAGGACTGGGATTTTCTTGTGCACAGGATTTGACTGGAGAAGAAGCTGGCTTTTTGGATTCAAGGTCTCTTCAACGTTTTCATATTCCAGAGATTTGATGTTGAGGGCAATCTTAACCGTCAAAACGAATGGACTGAACCAGCCACCCAGAAGTTTGAGGTTAGTGTTTGCCATGGCTAACAAGTATAAACTGTGAAGGAGAAAACCACAGGATGTGAGAAATAATTATGATGTCAACACAAGCAACTGTGAGGTGTCTATGCAGGCTAATTATTGAATGCCAATCATCAAATTTGCTACATATCAGTGGTGGAAAATAATAGGTAGACCAACCTTTTACCTATATTAATTCACCGAGCCGCCTTAACCCAACAGGATAATTAAGGGCCGGGAACAGTGTGGAAATCTGTTGATGATCTGAATGAATTTTAGCAACTCTTTTATTAACACTTAGTATTAATTGTTTATATCTTAAGTGAAGTGAAATACAAAAAATAATAATTTTTTTATTTTTACTTTAATTTAATTAAAAAAGAAATATAATAAATTCTAATTTGTTCATGGTCAAAAATCCCCCGGGGAAACAACCCATGGGAAGAAAAACAGGCACAGGATTATACTTGACGTGCACGGCACAAGTGATGATTTCGGGTCATGTCAGTCTGCATGATCTATTAAGGGGGTGTTTGGCAACCTCCAAATCATGGTTTTAAAAGCACTTTCTGCAAAACAAGGTAAATTTCTTTGTAAAAATATTTATGAAACCATGATTTGGTTTCTATCCAAACACTCTTAACTTCATCGGTGTCTTTTGTTGAAGGGAGCTAGGAGGTCGTGCAATGCTGCATGTTGCAGCTAGGATAATTCACAATGCTGAATGCCCTCAAATTTCTGTAGCCTGGAATGGCCCTTTTTTCTTTTTTTGACCAGAATAGTGGCCTAAACTATCAGAAAATGACCTGAGAAAAAGATCCAGTATTACTCAGATTTTGAATTTCAAGTAATGGAGCAGCGTTTTGAAAAGTATTGCAGAGATACTAGTATGTTATTTGACTCTGAAATCATCTGATCAAATCCAAAGCACTTAATTGCTGCTACAAATGAGAGTATAGCCCAAAAGAGAAGAAAATTCAAGCAAACTTGTAAGAAACACCCAAAACAACATATCATTATCCTATTTAGCCATACCACAACACAAGAACATTTACATTTTACAACAGCAAGCCGATAATTCTACTTCTTGGCAATTGCAGTTCTCCATTTGATCTGAAGGAACCTGGCGGGCTCTATGAGTTTATCAGTTTCAGGTATGAGACCATTCACAGCAGGATCAGCGGCAAATCTCTCAGCCCATTTCACCAGAGAAGGAGCTTTTTCCTCCACAAGAAACTGTTGTCCATACAAAGTTTCTACAACACTGAGCCAAACCAGATTGCTTCCAAAAGCAATGTCAATGAATCCAATCTGGTCTCCACCCAAAAAGGGTTTTCTTTTGCTGATTTTCCCAAACGCATCCTCCATCCTCCCAACCACTTCGTCCCTTGTCTCATAGCGTGGCTTTCTTGCCTCCTCATCTTCCACAGTTATGATGCTTTTCATTGAGGGAAACCACTACCACAATTAGAGATCCGACACAACTCCTATTCAGAAACGCAGAAATTGATGGAAAATACACAATTTTTTCCTCGAAAAGTTAAAATCTGTTACCTTCTGGTCGACGTAAGCAGCCTATAATCGAGCGTTTGAGCGATCATAAGCATCGGAGGGGAGGATGGAGGGGCCAGACGACCCCGTCTCGTCAATGTATTCGATAATAATGAGGGATTCACAGATGGGTTTACCATGGTGGATAAGAACTGGGATTAGGGCGTAAACTTGGTTGGATTGAAGAAGAAGATCGCTCTTGGCGTTCATATGCTCTTCCAAGTATTCATATCCAAGATATTTGATGTTCAGAGCAATCTTCGTCCTCATCGAGAAAGGGCTCGACCATCTGCCCAGAAGCTTCAGCTCACTCCCCGCCACCAGGATCGACCCAAGTTGGTTCGATCATAATCATTTGTTATAGGATATATTAACCCCGAAGACTCATTTTATAATGGAAATTATTTACACTCCAAATGAGTCTCATATGATAAGTTTTAGACGCAAATTTAATTGGTTTATTCTCAAGTTCTTTGATTCTGGGGATATCATTGGCTTCGTCGCCAGGATCACTGCACCAAGCGCCATGGAGATGATTAAGGATTTTTCTGAGTGCTGATAAACACATTTTACCCAAGTTATGATTAAAAAAAATTTCATATACTTACTTTATATTTCATAAATCACGATTAAAAACTTATTTATAAATCATTCCAAATGAATCCTACTAAGTAATTTATTTTATGCTTGGTCCTCATATCATAACTAAAAAGCATATTTGTTGAGAGGGATAAAAATCCTTTGCACTTGTACTCTTTGATCAAATAAGAAAAAAGAATGAGTCTTCTCATCACCAGATGATCAAATGTCTGATTGCATGACAACATTGGTCAGTATTACTTACACATAGTAATTTCTTAATTGATGAAAGCATGTAATTGGTTTTAATGGTTTTTTTTTTTTTGTCAAGTGCGCCATCAATGAAGCACGCAATAAATAATCCAACGGTCACCTTCGATCACGCAATCATTAATTCAATAATTCACATTTATCCCATTTAAAATTATAGTGCATTTACTGTTTTTGCGGTTATAGTCTGGTTCTTATGGCATTGGAGGAACCGCTCTCTTTTTGAGGAAGAGTTTCCTGGCTGACTAATCCTGCAGTAATAGTAATGAAGTAAACTGAGCTTTACTAGTTAAACAAATT